CCTGTTACATCCTATTAATGCTGAATACAGTGTCCTGTTACATCCTATTAATGCTGAATACAGTGTCCTGTTACATCCTATTAATGCTGAATACAGTGTCCTGTTACATCCTATTAATGCTGAATACAGTGTCCTGTTACATCCTATTAATGCTGAATACAGTGTCCTGTTACAATCCTATTAATGCTGAATACCAGTGTCCTGTTACATCCTATTAATGCTGAATACAGTGTCCTGTTACATCCTATTAATGCTGAATACAGTGTCCTGTTACATCCTATTAATGCTGAATACAGTGTCCTGTTACATCCTATTCATGCTGAAAACAGTGTCCTGTTACATCCTATTAATGCTGAATACAGTGTCCTGTTACATCATATTAATGCTGAATACAGTGTCCTGTTACATGCTATTCATGCTGAAAACAGTGTCCTGTTACATCCTATTAAAGCTGAATACAGTGTCCTGTTACATCCTATTAATGCTGAATACAGTGTCCTGTTACATCCTATTAATGCTGAATACAGTGTCCTGTTACATCATATTAATGCTGAATACAGTGTCCTGTTACATCCTATTAATGCTGAATACAGTGTCCTGTTACATCCTATTAATGCTGAATACAGTGTCCTGTTACATCCTATTAATGCTGAATACAGTGTCCTGTTACATCCTATTAATGCTGAATACAGTGTCCTGTTACATCCTATTAATGCTGAATTCAGTGTCCTGTTACATCCTATTAATGCTGAATACAGTGTCCTGTTACATCCTATTAATGCTGAATACAGTGTCCTGTTACATCCTATTAATGCTGAATACAGTGTCCTGTTACATCCTATTAATGCTGAATACAGTGTCCTGTTACATCATATTAATGCTGAATACAGTGTCATGTTACATCCTATTAATGCTGAATACAATGTCCTGTTACATCCTATTAATGCTGAATACAGTGTCCTGTTACATCCTATTAATGCTGAATACAGTGTCCTGTTACATCCTATTAATGCTGAATACAGTGTCCTGTTACATCCTATTAATGCTGAATACAGTGTCCTGTTACATCCTATTCATGCTGAAAACAGTGTCCTGTTACATCCTATTAATGCTGAATACAGTGTCCTGTTACATCCTATTAATGCTGAATACAGTGTCCTGTTACATCATATTAATGCTGAATACAGTGTCCTGTTACATCATATTAATGCTGAATACAGTGTCCTGTTACATCCTATTAATGCTGAATACAGTGTCCTGTTACATCCTATTAATGCTGAATACAGTGTCCTGTTACATCCTATTAATGCTGAATACAGTGTCCTGTTACATCCTATTCATGCTGAAACAGTGTCCTGTTACATCCTATTAATGCTGAATACAGTGTCCTGTTACATCCTATTAATGCTGAATACAGTGTCCTGTTACATCATATTAATGCTGAATACAGTGTCCTGTTACATCCTATTCATGCTTTTGAAACAGTGTCCTGTTACATCCTATTAAGCTGAATACAGTGTCCTGTTACATCCTATTAATGCTGAATACAGTGTCCTGTTACATCCTATTAATGCTGAATACAGTGTCCTGTTACATCATATTAATCTGAATACAGTGTCCTGTTACATTAACTATTAATGCTGAATACAGTTCTCTGTTTACATCCTATTAATGCTGAATACAGTGTCCTGTTACATCCTATTAATGCTGAATACAGTGTCCTGTTACATCCTATTAATGCTGAATACAGTGTCCTGTTACATCCTATTAATGCTGAATTCAGTGTCCTGTTACATCCTATTAATGCTTGATACAGTGTCCTGTTAATCCTATTAATGCTGAATACAGTGTCCTGTTACATCCTATTAATGCTGAATACAGTGTCCTGTTACATCCTATTAATCTGAATACAGTGTCCTGTTACATCATATTAATGCTGAATACAGTGTCATGTTACATCCTATTAATGCTGAATACAGTGTCCCTGTTACATCCTAATAATGCTGAATACAGTGTCCTGTTACATCCTATTAATGCTGAATACAGTGTCCTGTTACATCCTATTAATGCTGAATACAGTGTCCTGTTACATCCTATTAATGCTGAATACAGTGTCCTGTTACATCATATTAATGCTGAATACAGTGTCATGTTACATCCTATTAATGCTGAATACAGTGTCCTGTTACATCCTATTAATGCTGAATACAGTGTCCTGTTACATCCTATTAATGCTGATACAGTGTCCTGTTACATCCTATTAATGCTGAATACAGTGTCCTGTTACATCCTATTAATGCTGAATACAGTGTCCTGTTACATCCTATTCATGCTGAAACAGTGTCCTGTTACATCCTATTAATGCTGAATACAGTGTCATGTTACATCCTATTAAGCTGAAATACAGTGTCCTGTTACATCATATTCATGCTGAATACAGTGTCCTGTTACATCCTATTCATGCTGAAAACAGTGTCCTGTTAATCATTAATGTGGAATTACAGTGTCCTGTTACACTATAATTGCTGAAATACAGTGTCCTGTTACATCCTATTAATGCTGATACAGTGTCCTGTTACATCCTATTAATCTGAATACAGTGTCCTGTTACATCCTATAATGCTGAATACAGTGTCCTGTTACATCCTATTAATGCTGAATACAGTGTCCTGTTACATCCTATTAATGCTGAATACAGTGTCCTGTTACATCCTATTAATGCTGAATACAGTGTCCGTTACATCCTAATAATGCTGAATACAGTGTCCTGTTTACATCCTATAATGCTGAATACAGTTGTCCTGTTACATCTATTAATGCTGAATACAGTGTCCTGTTTACATCCTATTAATGCTGAATACAGTGTCCTGTTACATCCTATTAATGCTGAATACAGTGTCCTGTTACATCCTATTAATGCTGAATACAGTGTCCTGTTACATCCTATTAATGCTGAATACAGTGTCCTGTTACATCCTATTAATGCTGAATACAGTGTCCTGTTACATCCTATTAATGCTGAATACAGTGTCCTGTTACATCATATTAATGCTGAATACAGTGTCCTGTTACATCCTATTAATGCTGAATACAGTTGTCCTGTTACCATCCTATTAATGCTGAATACAGTGTCCTGTTACATCCTATTAATGCTGAATACAGTGTCCTGTTACATCCTATTAATGCTGAATACAGTGTCCTGTTACATCCTATTCATGCTGAAAACAGTGTCCTGTTACATCCTATTAACGCTGAATACAGTGTCCTGTTACATCCTATTAATACTGAATACAGTGTCCTGTTACATCCGATTAATGCTGAATACAGTGTCCTGTTACATCCTATTAATGCTGAATACAGTGTCCTGTTACATCCTATTAATGCTGAATACAGTGTCCTGTTACATCCTATTAATGCTGAATACAGTGTCCTGTTACATCCTATTAATGCTGAATACAGGCTCACAGGGAAGTCGCTCTATGGCTCATTTCAATTAGAGAATGTCAACTAAGATATTTCGTTACTCAATTGGTATTTAGCAGGATCAGAGACGTCAGCCCCCTTTACTCCCTCACATCAGAAAAACGGGTTTTGAACCAACAGAAGAATGACAAAGAACGGTAGAAACTTGAAAATATAAAAAATGGAAGGTTCTAGAGTAAAATCTCATATAAGGTAACAACAGTATCTTTTGATAAAGAAGGAAGCCTTTATTGGGTGGTGGTCTATGTCATAAGAACGACATGAGAAGAGGTTACAGAAGAGACAGTGTTTACAATACACAAAGGTTATGTAGAAAAGCCTTCCTTGTTTTTCTTTGTGGTTGGAGCACACACCAAGTTTCCCACAGCAACGTGTGGTGACATGCATTCATGAGGGGTGTTGCATTTCATTATGTATCAGTGGCTGTGTGTGGACAGACATGTGGAGGTGTTCTGTTTCACTTTTGGCCAAAAGCTGTTTTCACTGTCATCAGGCAAACCTGTTGATCTTTCTCATATAGTATCAAATATCTCCCACAGGGTGTCATTTGTGTGTGTCTGTCTGTGTGTGTGTGTGTGTGTGTGTGTGTGTGTGTCTGTGTCTGTGTCTGTGTCTCTCTCTGTGTGTGTGTGTGTGTGTGTGTGTGTCTGTGTCTGTGTCTGTGTCTGTGTGTGTGTCTCTGTGTCTCTGTGTCTCTGTGTCTCTGTGTCCTCTGTGTGTGTGTGTGTGTGTGTGTGTGTGTGTGTGTGTGTGTGGTGTGTGTGTGTGTGTGTGTGTGTGTGTGTGTGGTGTGTGTGGGTGTGTGGTGTGTGTGTGGTGTGTGTGTCTGTAGTACCGGTGCCGAGGGAAGAGAGGAGGCCAACTTACCATTGAACACGAGACGCAGACTCATTATCCAATTATATCAAGCATTTCCTGCTAACAGAGACTCACCTGGGAAACACAACACATTAGCTGATTAATTACAGGCCTAATTATCACTTGCATGTGAAAAGGTACTTTGGTCTCAATGGACATTGCTGACTGGCCACCCAGGCCCCAAGGAGTGTGTTCTCTCTAAGGTGTGACATTCCTGGATCAATTTATGGCCTCTGGATTGGATTGTCCTGTCTCCAGTCCCCATTGGGTGTGTGTGTGTGGTGTGTGTGTGTGTGTGTGGTGTGTGTGTGTGTGTGTGTGTGTGGGTGTGTGTGTGTGTGTGTGTGTGTGTGTGTTGTGGTGTGAGTGTGTGGTGGTAGTGGGGGTGTTGTGTTGGTGTGTGTTTTTTTTTTTTAGGTTGTTTTGGGTTTTTTTTTTGGGGGGGTGTTGTTTGATTTTGTGGTAAAAAATCGGGTTTTTCAAAAGGGGGGGCCATGTGCCCTTTTAAAATTTTTCCAAG